AATCTTAGCAATAGCTCCCCGGATGAATCACGTATGAATCTTGCATTTGCGAAACTTAAAACGTTCTTCAAATCTGTCTGCGTTTCCAAATGTTGCATGAAACAGAATAAAGTTGGTGACACTAAAGAAACTTTCATTACAAATGAAACCGGCAAGGAGACAGGAAAAGTATTGATCATTGTCGACGAGGGCAGCACACAAGATGTGAATAACGCAAAAGAACCAAGTAAATTGAGTTGATGAATAAAATATAGACTGTTGTATACAGTAATTTTTTTCAGGTTCTGCAATTATTGCATTCAAAACATGTAATCGTTGTGCTGAACTTGTATATAATTAACTATATTTAATATGCTTTAAATGAATGACTAAGAACATTCATAAACGTAAAGTGGAATTCTTTTTTCATAACATGTAATAATTCGCCTGATTAAATCATCATTATTTTTACATTTAGAATTATTGGAAATGAAAACAATTTCTCCGGAAGAGGATAATAAAAGTAACGTGTTAGCTTTAAAAGCATCCGTGGTATCAAAATCAAGATCTGCAAACTCTATTCAATCAAATGGACACCTTCCAAGCAATCAAATAAATGGGAACGAAAACGCTGTTAGCGTTCAGGTAAGATGTATAGGCTTTATATTATTACCACTTGTATCATGATTATAGTTATATTATGAGATTTATAAATATTTCAGTTTTCAAACTGAATTTTTGTAGGATATCAGCCATGCTGTTGGAACGCATCGAGCAGAAACTGTGTCGTTAGAACGCAATGTGGATAACAAAAGAATAACGACACTCATCACTACAAACGAAGAAACTGGAGAAAGTGAAGTTGGTAAAGAGGAACGTAATGGAACTGAGCAGGGGGTCGTTGTCATCGACGTCCATGAAGATGACGAACTTCAGGATTTGACTGGTGGTAAGAAGGTTGTAGATTGCTTTCCTGTTCAGGTAAACGCATACTTCATGAAGAAGTTCCCATCCTGTCGAGGATTCTCTAAAACGTTTTGCGGCAAAACATGGAGAAGAACAAGAGAAGTCGCGTGCGTCGTCATTGAACATAAAATCTTCGAGACCTTTATTCTAGTTACAATATTTGCCAGTAGTGTGACTTTGGTAAGTTCCAATTCATGTCCATTCTTATGCGGTTTACAAAATAATTGTGTATTATACAATACCTTGAGATAAACGTGTGTCCGAAACAGAAGTTTATCATCATCCACTGCAGCACTATCATCATCATCACAACCACCACCATCATCACAATGCTAGAGGTCTTTCGTTATGGCACTTTACGAGATCTCTCCAATTGACTTTTGTCTAAACTGTACAAAGACCCACCTGTAAAAGCTTTTTTGATTTCTCTATCATTAAATCAAATCCAAACAAAATGTTTGAATTTATATTATTAGGGTGAAAATATTTGCTATAGACCGAATCGGCGGCTCGGGTCACGTGACTTATAGTGGGTATTAGGGTTTGTTTACATCTATAGAGATTGCCAGACGACAGTGCTTTGATTATGGCTTCGCCTTGTTGTTGATGTAAGTCACATCATAGATGTTGCAAATGTTGTTTGGAATGCGAGTTATAATTTGGTAAATCACTTAGAAGTGTTCCAAGTTTAAATTTTCAAATAATTACCAGTTTGGTTAGGTAAGGCGACCAAAATATGATTGGGCGTGGAATTTATTTTCCGTGGCCACGCCCACTGAAAAATATTGCTTCTTAGATTCCCGAATACACGTTAACCATGACAGCATAAGCATAAGCCTAGCCTAATTTTTTTTGCTTCGAGTGTATAAGAGACAGGTCCAAGAGAGTTTACCATTATTGGCAGAAA